CCACGCGGGAAAATACCGTCGATGTGAAATGTATATAATGGAAAGATCTCACCTCTCGCTCGCTTCGCTTACGTTCCTTAACTAATTTAACTTAACTCCTTTGATTTAGATATATATTCACAGGCGTCCAGTGATGGAATGAAAGAACGTCCTTTTGTACTGGCCCAGCAGGACGTATGCGCTAGGGGTGCGAGAGGTGAGGGTAACTATAAGAACGCTTCGATAGTTACTAGTATCGATGCTCGCAATGAGTATCGATCTATAGTTCTAATCGATAGAATCGGACGCGCGCGATTTAACTACATCTAATTACCGTACGATCATTTCGGATCGTACAATATGACTCACTTAGAAAAGGTCTGTTAAGGAAAATAGGAGGGAATTTATATTAAAGCTAACTATTATAAGTACCGGTTATTTTATTACTTCTCTTTCATAGTCAAACTAAAACTAAGCGTGCGTGCAACAAAAAACAATAGCGGAACTCTAACAGCGCCACCACATCGTCGCGCGTCTTTCTCTCGTACGACACCCCCATACATACTAGGTGGGGAGTCGTACACGTGTGTGTGGAACACCCACGGTCCCAGTTATGTACAATATACAATGTATATTCTTAACAAGGTCATCCCGGATGATCAGTTATGTGAAGCTTGTATTTACGGTAAACAAGCACGATAACCATTCAATAAGGAAAAAGATAAAAGTCATATTACACGACCATTGCTTATGGTTCATAGAGACGTTTGTGGTCCAATCACTCCTTCTACGGTCAATAACAAAAATTATATTATAACATTCATTGACGAATATGCGCATTATGGCGTAACTTATTTATTAGATCATAAGTCCGATGTTTATATAGTTTTCAAAGATTACGTTGCAAAGAGTGAGGCTCGGTTTAATTTAAAGTTAATCAATTTGTATTGTAATAATGGTAGAGAATATCTATCAAATGAAATGAAAGATTATTGCGTTCAAAAGGGAATAAGTTACCATTTAACGGTTCCGCGTACTCCTTAATTGAATGGCGTTGCAGAACGCATGGATAGAACTATAACCGAAAATGCACGGGCTATGATAAATAGTGCTGATCTAAAAAATAAATTTTGGGGAGAAGCAGTCTTAACTGCAACTTATTTAATTAATTTAACGCCAACGCGGGCTCTTACAATAAATAAAACTACGTTTGAATTATGGCGTAATAAAAGGCCGAGTTTAAAATATCTGAAAATTTCTATAAAATTAGAAAGTCTAAATTCGACGAAAAATCTTAAAAAGCTATATTAGTAGGATTTGTATCGAATGGATATAAAATTTGGAATGTTCATCATTTTTAAAGTGAAAAAACAAAATATTTCTAAGATTTCAGACTCAAATATTAGTAAATCTAAATATTTTTTTGTAATGCAGTAAAGCAACAAAGAAACATTAAATATTTTTGAAAAGAACAAACTTTTCTCAATATATATGAGTCTAAAAATATTGATTTTTAATTTCAGGAAATGATTTTAACGTTAAAAACCCGAATATCTTCAATAACTTTGCATTAAATTTTGCTATAAAGTAAAATTTTTCAATGATGCAATCAAGCTACAAAAAAAACTTAAAAGATTTTCGAAAAAAAATACATTATTTTTAAATTATGAGCGTAGTTTTATTTATTTCGAATATTTGGAATTAATTAAATAGTAAAAAAACGAAGTATTTCTACGATTTTAGATTCAAATATTAGTAAATTGTAGGAAAAAACTGGTTTTTAGTTCTTCTCGTTATATTTTATTTTCTTCTGTATTACTGTATCCACGCCACTTTTTGTAAACTTATGTAAATACCGCTCGACATCACATCATCATAATTTAATAAACTATATCATTTCATCTTCAGTTATATATATGTAAAGGTGGAAGAAAGACGAAGAGTGCGAGTGTATGGTGTACTTGGAAACAATTGATGAACGTGAAAGATTTGTATGAATGTAGCGATATGGATATGAGTGTGAGTGCACGCAGCGATATGAGTATGAATGTGAGTACGTGTAGCGGTATGAATACTAGTGTGTGTTGCAAGAAAGAAAAGCGTGTGATATCAGCTGATGTTATCATTTTGTAAGCGCCCCGAAATCTCTCGAATATTCCCGAACCGGAAATCAGGAAGAAGTCTTTTGTTTGATCGGTTGGGAATAGTCTGGAGATTTCGAGAATGATTAACGGAAGTGATTGGGACCATTTGTGGGGTGAATGGATATATGAGGGCGGTGAAGAAGGCGGCAGTGATCCCATTCGTACGATAATTATCGTACGCGTCACATAATTTGAAGCCTTGTACGATCCAAAATTCAGCCTGTACGATCATTTATGATGTTACGGTAATTATCACTGTCCAATTTGGAATTTCGAAAACTTGATGACCTCTTTTTTTTTACTCATCAAATTTTGCAAATGGGTAAGTTTGAAGGGTAGAGATGTTTAATTTGCGATTTTGATTCGATATCTGGAGAAGCTGGAAGAAAAACCACCACTGTACGATCTTTGTACGATCTCTGCACGATCTGGTCTTTTTTCCTGCTGTACGCCGTATTTACCGTATTTACGATAGCTTCAACTTGAAGACCAAAAAAAAAAAGGTCATCAACTTTGAAAAAGTTGGAACTTGGACAACATTCAACAAATTCAAAATTTTTCCTGTGCGTACGATAATTTTAAGCCCCTGTGTCGATCAGACGAACTAAAGTCTGTGGGATCACTGGAAGGCGGTCTGCGCCTTCTTAATTCGGTGTAACTAGTGAGTATTATACGAGTGTTCTGTGGTCTCTAACTATTGTTACTTACTTTTTCTCTTTTCGATTTTTATTTTAAACCTTAATATTTAAGTATTTCTTATATTATAATAAACATTTCTTTTATTTCAATTCAATAAATCTTACATATATATAAAAAAAAAAGTAAAAAAAAGAAAAGTAGAAAAGGTGTGCAAAACTCTGAGTTCTCGTAAATCTTTATTCTTTCTTTTCTCTCTAAAAATCGTGTTACAGTTTTGTTTAAAAAAAAAAATTAAAAATTAAAAAAATAATAAAAAATAAAAATAAAAATAAAAAATAAATTTTCTAGTCAAAATGTTAAATTAAAAAAAAAGGGAATCTCATGGTAGCAAATTTTTAATGCCATTTAGAGTAAAATAATTGAAAATTACGTCATACAAATATTTCTAGAACAATGAACAGGCGTTATGGATACGAATACTTAAACGCGTTCAAGCTTGAAAATGCTGTTTGTTTACACGACGGAGAAGGAGAGAGAAAGTAAGATAGAAAGAAAGGAGAGATAAGGGACAGAGTAGGGCACATATACGGTTCAAACAAACATCAAAATTATAACAACCGACACAAGAGAAAGCATAGCGCGTATAAAAAAAAAAACGCCCTTGCGTGTAAACACAAGGCGATCTTGCCGTGAAGAGCATGGCAACGCGCTATGGATAGAGCACTATAGAGATGAGTACTCTCATCCGCCATTTTCAGTCCTACAGAGAAAACACGAGTATGGTTTTGTATAGTAAACACGTTTGTTGACATCAAGCGAGATTGAATTATTTATTGATAATTGTGTTAAATTTCATTAAAAAAATTATTTGATAGTTGATGTTAGTATTTAACCATTCTATTTTTAACATTAAAAGATAGATTAAACTACAAAATACTATTCAGTGATTGATTTATTAACACAGATAAGCTATTTGGAACGTTTCAGTAATAATTTGGTAAGTAATGTTTTAATATTTCTCTGAAAAATAGATAATCTGTTTAAATTATAAAAATACTGGATTTGTTTAGTAATATATATTAAATATATTGAATAACATATTACAAATAAAAGCTCAATAACTCTTATTTTTATTTTAAAACAGATGAAAAGTATGCCAGTAAAAAAGGAAGACAACAACAAAAAATCAGTCGCTGCTAAAAGCAAAATGGTATTATATTCTTATTTTGAAACATTAATTATTTATGTTTATGTTATATAAATATGTAAATTAATTGTAAATTTAAAAATAATAATTGTATCTTTTTTAGAAGTATGAAAGTGAAATAAAATCTGTTGACGAAGAGACCATTATGTCTTTGCTTGCTGAAAATCTATCTATATGAAAATCTATAAGGGCTCAAATAGAGAGAATGAATGCAATTTTAAAAGAATATAAATCGTATTCAGCAGCTTCAGAATATTTAAGCAAATACAATGTTTCATAATCATGAACTTAATTAAACATGGTAAAAATTTATGTATTTAAAAAAAAAAGTAATGAACTGCACATAGCATAAGTGAGTAGTTAGAATTGTACATTTGAAATAAAATAAATTTGTATCATTTATATGAGTATATCTATATTTATTTATTCATTTGTTCCGTTGTAAAAATATTATAAAATTATACATAATAAAATTAACATCATTATTAACAATGCACAATATATGTGCAGTAAATGCATAAATTAAATGTTTAAAATTCTTCATTTCATAGTCGCAGATCCATACACTTTGGTATGACGTTTGCAGTTCTCATAATAATTTTTCACGCAATACTAACGAATATTGAAAAAATGTTTAATTATTTTGTACTTAACACAGCAACAATTCGGAAAATCAATGTTGATTTTCTCAAATAATAATTTTAGTAAATCAAATGTATTTTTCAATATGTTTTCAGACAGATATTAATAGTTGTTTACGACTTAAACGATTTCAATAAAATTTCTTCTTCATTCATTCACAAATAATTTAAAAAATTGCAAAAAATAACGATAAAACCTGCAGACTGACACTCACTACATACGTTTTTTTAAAACTTCCGCTCACTCAAAGAGCAAAAATGGCGGATGAGAGTACTCATCTCTATAGTGCTCTACTATGGAAGAAAGAGAGAGAGAGAGAGTAAAATTACTTCTCCTCTTCTATCCATTTGGGTCGACCGGATGGAGGCAGAGAGATGCGAGTGTCCTTCTCTTCTCCGCTCTGAAGGTAGTATAGGATGTGTTGAAGAAAGAGAGAAAGGGAGAAAGATAGTCGCATAGTATGGTGCGATGTTGCCACTTCCCCTCCCAGCTGCATATAGTATGTGGCGTCTCGCACCAGCGCAGTGCTGACATCTCTCGGCCAACAGCGCGCAGCTATAGCAGCGCGCGCAGGAAAAGTGCTGACACCTCTCGGCCGCCAGCACTAACATACGCAAGCACCTCATGACGCGGTTCCGCAGGGGCATCTGATTGGCCTGACCACGCCTTTG